ACGTCAGCCCGACCGCTCGTGCCCTAAAGGGTGGTGGGCTTGGGGTGGCGCACCGCGGCGGTCAGACCGGTCTTGATATTACGACCGGCCGTGTTGAAGTGCTCGGACGAGATGACGAGGCCGCCGTAGATCTGCTCGAGCTTGACCATGATGGTGGTGACGATGGAGAAGAAGACGCCGAAGCCGAGCACGAGCACGTACCCCGCCCACTCGTCCATGATGGCGCCCTCGCCGAAGTCGCCCGCGATCTTGCGCCACGGGACCGGGTTGTTCCACGCGATGGAGCAGACGTCGAGGTCGGTGATGCCCTGAGGGGGACGGAGCGGCGAGATCGGGTGGCTGCGGCGAGGGCGATTCGGCCCGGCGAGCGTGGGGAGGGTCTGGTAGAGTCGCAATCGCTCGCACCAGGGCGGTGCCGGCTTTGCACCACTCCTCGCACTGGGAGTACGGGACGTTGGGGAGTCCGACGTATCCTTCCGCGCCGTTCGCAAGGCGTTCGTTGCACGCCATTCGACGCACGAGTCTGCAGCAGGGCAAATGTAGGCGTGAGTTGAGCGTCGCCTCCGCATCGTCTCTAGGAAAACGATGCGCGGCGAGAGAGTGGGGTCAAGTAACACCGACGCGAGGTGAGGAGGGTGAGTGCTGGTGGATGTGGATGGTTGGCTGGCTACGCGGAGGACGCGACACAGCAAAGGCGACGCCTGTTAGGTGGTGACAATCAAAGGTGAGGCTTCAGCAGGCTTCGAATGACGAGACCTCTCAATGAATGTAGGCCCCCCCCCCTCGGCCAAAACGCCGTTTTTCAGAAGAATTCTTAACGCGCAAAGGCCGCCGCCCGGCGGCGGCGAGGGCGGGCGCGGCAAGGGCGGGCGCGGCAAGGGCGGCGAGGGCGGGCGCGGCAAGGGCGGGCGGGCGCGGCAAGGGCGGCGGCGGCTGGGGCGACTATTAAAATTAAAAACAGGCACGACACCCCCGGCCCCGCCATTCCACGCCCTGTCTTACGCACCCTTCCCCCCCACAGGGCCCCCGGAGAGATAGGATAATAGTCGTGGGGCGGGTGGACCACCCGGGGGGGTCGGAAACCACACCGTCAAGTGGACCCGTGGGATTCGGTCAGGCTGCGGGAGGCAGGGGCGAGGCCAGGAGGGGCTGCCGGAGTGCACGACCCAGCCTGCGATTCCTCGCACCCACGGCCAGCCGGGAGGGCTGCTCCCCGGGAGTACGCCAGCCGGGAGGGTCGCAAAGCCGGGAGGGCGCAGGGGCGTCGCCTCGAGCGGCGTCCAGGCGCCAACTCGGCTGCCCCCGTGTGGAGGTGATCAGGGTGGTCTGACCGGGTGGTATCGCCCCGGTCTAGGCCCTCTGGAGTCTCGTGAGGCGTCCCTCGTCTCTCGCTCGAGAGATGGTCATCTGAACCCGAATCATCGGTGCCCAGCACGTGTATGTTGAGTCGTACGCGGTCCTGCGGCTTGGTCGCGGGAGATAGATTGCCCGCAGTGTCGCGGGCCTCCTCAGCCGAGGAAGACATGTTTGTAGAGAGTATTCAAAGTACGAAGGTGTGGTGTCACACCGGTGGGGGGAAAGACGCCAGCTGCGCCGAGTTGTGGTGTCACAACAGTAGAGAGGTCGACTGTCTCGCGGCGCGGCGGCCCCACGAAAGCAGTCAGAGACTATGACGTGCCAAACTTGCACAACGGGAGTTGGGGAAGCGTGACGTGCCCAAGATGTCTAATATTAGGGGTCTGGGTGTCAACGACGTGCCACTGCACAGGGTGTGGGAATATAGGGATATGGGGACACGGCGGACTATCCATCACTCTGGAATGGGAGAGAGAGAGAGCGAGGGAAGGAGAGAGAGAGAAGGAGAATAATAGGTGAAGCCTCTCGATGTAGGTCAGGCCACCGGTCCTCATGGGCGTCCTCGTGCCTCACCTCCTGCGACACAGTGCCAAAACCGCGGAACCGAAAATGGCGTTTAATTTCGCGCACCTGCTGTCCGCCGCCTGCGGCGGCGCTCCGCACCGCTTGAGGCGCCTGCGGCGCCCCTGGCGGCGCGCTGTCCGCGCGCCCCTCTGTGGTTTTCGTGGGGGGCTCGGCTCGTAACCTCATCGTAAGTCTCGATTTGTACCGGATTTCGACGTTAGTGGCAAAACTGCGGAACCGAAAATGGCGTTTAATTTTGCGCACCTGCTGTCCGCCGCCTGCGGCGGCGCTCCGCGCCGCTTGGGGCGCCTGCGGCGCCCCCCTGGCAGGTGGCAGCAGTGTGTACGGCTGCGGGTGCGCCCGGTACACAACCGGCGCTCTATGGCGTGCTCCGGGGGAGCACGACTACGCAGTCGTGGCTTCCACACGCGAGAGAGAGGCGTCTATATTTACGAAAACATTGGGCGTCCCTAGTGCCGCATCCATAAGAAGTGACGTCACGGTTCCAGGAGCGCTGGCGACACAGCTTAGAGTGGCAGCCGAGCGCCGGCCACGACTATCGAGTCGCCGTCGCGGAGCTGAGGGCTGGCCGACGGGTGGCGCGGTCTTCCTCCCAGCGCCACCCATCGGTCAGCCCTCAGATCGATCGATCGGCGCTCAAAGTCGCTTCAGATCCGAGAAAGCTGCTGGCGCCGCTGCCGATCCCAGCCGCGACGCCAGCAGCTTCCTCTGCTCTCCAATGCGCCGAGAAGCGACGCGGCGGTGCTCGGCTCGCCATGCACGATGACGGCTCCGCTGGGTGCTCGTCGGCCGGTCCGGTGGCACCCTATTCGCGCGTCACCTGCCGGCGTCCCGACGACAGCCTCGCGCCGCCGCTGATGGAGGGGCGGTCGGCGCCGCTGCCGCCGCGCCGCCGGTGGGAGAGGCACTGGTGGTGGCCTGGGCGGCCCTCCGCCGCCGCTCGGCGCGCCCGGGCAGCGGTGGCAGCCTGCGCCGCCACAGCTTCGAGCGGGCGCCCCGAGCTTCGAGCGGGCGCCCCCAGCTTCCAGCGGGCGCCCGGGACGGGTTCCCCGCTTCGAGCGGGGAGATGCGGCCTGGGATTCGCTTTCTGAAATGTCTGCCTCCAAAGGGGAAACGCCCAACCTGATCTCAGAATCACTCATCCCTCCCTTGGGTTGCCCGTTTTCTTTCTTTCTTTAGGCGGTAATAGGAAGGTATCAGGGCGTATGGGGTCAGTCGTTCACCTTGTCCTGCCTGCAGCCTCGAAAGGGCGGGGCTGTCCCGGCACCCGGGAAGCCGGGCAGCGTGACGCCGCCACCTTAACCTCCCGGCAATTTTACAATTCGTGAGAAACCAGGACGGCTCACAGCAAACTGATACGGTCTTGTCCGTGCCTTGCGGCCGGCGAGATAGATTGGTAGAGGCGGAGCGGTCTGCTCTAGCCTCGCACTTTACTCCCTGTCGTCTGTTGTGTTGTTGTGCCCTTGTGCCCTTGTTTGTTTGTGTCCTTGGCACCGACCGTGTGTGCTGGGGGGGGGACAGGGAGGAAGGATGTGGCCCTGAGTTATGTATGTGTACGCCAACTCAGGGTGTGTGGCAGCCAGCTGGCTGTGTGTCTTGTGAGCCTGTTTGTGTCTGTGTGTCGCTCGTGCGTCTCGTCATCATCTGTCTAGCGTCCACCCATTAATTATACCGCGTTGGTGTCCAGTCCGAGCCTGGCTGTTCTTCACCTTCCTCTACCTAACCTAACACCACACAGGCAAACCAGCCTCTCTCACAGCACACTGGCACGACAAGGAGAAGAAGAATATTATCTCACGCCGTGGGCAAAGGTGGCGGCCGCCACAACTGCACGGCACCGAGTTTGAATAGCACCAGCGCCGGCGGCGGCGGCGGTAATAGGTAATAGCACGTTCAATAGCACACCCGTTAGAGTATCGACCTCTATTTTTATGAGAGCGCCTTCGTTGCTTCGATGTTACCCCAAAACTCTCTCGATGTTCGATGGCAAACACACCGATCTCGGGGTGGGACGACCGGGGGTGCGCGCGGCGCGCAGCGCGCGGCGGACGACCCCCCCCCCCCCCTCGATGATGATTTGTTGTGTGTTTTCCAAAAGCCAAAACGAAAAGCGCGTGTGCACGAGACGACGACACACATGGATGACGACAAAGACAAAACTCCCTCGACGCACAACACTGGGCACGGCACTGGCGCGCGCACTGGCACTAACACAGGACGAGAAAGAATTTGGCGGTCGGCGAGGCGGTAATAGGTATCAGGGCGTCTCTTTCCCCCACCTAGGCCGGGCGGTGGGCGGCGGGCGGCGGGCGCGGGGTGCGGTGCGGTGCGATTGTGTGTGCACAGTGTGCAGTGTCATGTGTGTGTCCCTTCTTGTTTCCTTAACAACGAAGGCTAGCTCAGGGAAAAAATTACAACACGAGAAAGAAAGAGAAAGCAATGCGCAGAAGAAAGACATTATTTGGATTGCAATCTCACCCCCGATGGGTACCCACGATATATACGTACAGGCTCACCCCATCCGAGACGCGCAAAACGATGAGCCAATACGCAATAGCTGACCCTCTGCGCTCTGATATCTGTGGCGTTCCGTGCTTTTTGGTGTTCACGACACACGACGACACACACGTGTGCTCCGGCCTCCGCGCTACGGCTCTAGAGAGGGAGCGCCGGCCTCAGCGCCTTGTTCTCACGAAAATCGTGCACCCGCTCGACCACCTCGAGCACCGCGATGACGGCGCCGAGCAGCAGGAGCAGCGCGCTGCACACGAGCGCCACCGCCAGCTGCTGGCGCGGCTCGAGGTACAGCTGCATCTCCCACCCGTGCGGCGCGTCGAGCGGGTGGGGAATGACGGTCAGCTGCGAGTTTGGCAGCACCGCCTGCTCGAACCGCCGCAGCCGACCCGCCGGCATCCCGACCATTAGCTGCTCGACGTAGTCGTTTGTGAGGCCGAGGCCGACGAGCAGAAAGGGCGAGGCCAGCGGCGAGTACCCGCCCTGCGGCAGCTGCACCCCCACCCGCGACTGCTTCTGGCGGTTCCACGACCAGATCGACGACACGCTCACGCGCGACCAGCGGGTCGGCAGCGACGTCGCAAACTGGTACGTCACCGCCGGCTGGTGCAAGCTCGGCTGGCGCAGCCAGACGCCAAACGGCCGGTCGACCACCTGCGCGGCGCACCGCCCTGCGGCGCCGACGCCGCCGCTCGCCTCCACGGCCGACGCCTCCACCGCGGCGAGCGCGCTCGAGTTGAGGCCGCTGCCGCCGCCCCAGCCGCCGCCGCCCCAGCCGGCCCGGGCGTTCTCTCCGGCGGCGGGAAGCGTGACTGTCCCCTCCTCGCCGGGGACGACGGCGAAGGCGTCGGAGGCGCACGCGCCGTCCGTCGTCGTGGCCTTCAGAAAGTACTGCCCGCTCACGCCGGAGTTGCGCCACGCGCGCAGCCGGCCTAGTCCCATACCTCCAGAGTCTCGAATCCAGTGTGGGTTCAGTCCCGTGGGTGGTGCGGTAGCCCGCCGTCGGCTTGCAGCGCGAGAACGTCCCACGTGCCGTCCTCGTACAAGTCGTAGAAGGCGCCCGCGCTCGCGCCGCCGAGCATCTGGAGCGAGGCTTTGGTTCAGTGCTCCCTTCCAGGAGTGCTCGGTGGTGTCTCTCGCGGCCGCGTGGAGTGCGTGGACATCGGCGAATCTCGGCGAATCTCGGCAAATCTCAGGTGTGTGGTGTGCGTGGGCCTCGCCTAATCTCGGCAAATCTCGCCTGATATCGCCCAACCTCTGCGAACCTCGGCTAGTCTCGGCGAATCTCGGCCGTGAGGTCTGCGCGGCCCCGAAGGCCGCGCCTCGGCCGCCTCGGCCCGTGTCTCGGAAGTGGCCCGGCCCGGCTGCGTCCCGGACGTGTCTCTGAAGAGTCTCGGACAGTGTCGCGGCACCGGGTAGAGGCGCAGCTCGGACGGCGGCGGGTAGACGGCCGTCTCCGCCTCGTACAGCCGCAGCGCGCCCTCGTCGCCTCCGCCGGCCTCGAGGCAGCGCAGCCTGCAGCACGGTGCGTGGACGCGCCGTCGACGTGTCTCGGGCGGGGGGGCGGTGGAGGTGCAGCGCGCGGGCGGTGGGGCATGGATGTGGAGTCTGCGCTCGCGGCGGGTGGGGGCAGGAGAGGGGTGTGGGTGGGGGCAGGAGAGGGGTGTCGGAAGCCGAGGGGGGGGGGGGGGGGAGGGGGAGGGGTCAAAAAGGGGTGTCGAGGGGGGAAACACCGTCCAAGGGTCTCGGAAGGGTCTCGGAAGGTCTGAGAAGGGTCTCGGAAGGGTCTCGGTAGCTTCGAGGGGGGGTGTCGGAGGGGGGAGTGTTGGAGGGGGAAGTGTCTCGGAAGGCGTCGCCTCTCGTCGTTGAAGAGGAGCAGCACGCACGGCTCTCCCGCAGAGCAGGGCGAGAGGTCCGACGCGCTCGCGTCGGCGGGCGCGACTAGCGGCAGCAGCGCGTCGGGGAAGCCGTTGAGGTCGAAATCGGCCACCGACAGCGTCGGCGGCCTCGCGCCGAGCGGATTCGCCAGAGCCCACCCGCCTGGGAGCGCCCACGCCTGCTTGAAGAACGCGAGCGCGCGCGGCTGGCAGAGCGACTTTGGCTGCGGCGGGCGCGTCGCGCAGTCTGCCTCTGCGTCGAACTGCTGACCGACGGCCGGGCGGCTGCTCGTGAGGGCCGGGGGGTCCGGCTTCGGCTCGCCGAGGACCGCATACCACGCGTGGAGCTCCAGCTGAGAGGAGGAGGAGGAGGAGGAGGAGGAGGAGGAGGAGGAGGAGGAGGAGGAGGAGGAGGAGGAGGAGGAGGAGGGAGGGGGGGAGGACTTGTTTGCCAGGAAGAGAAGGTCGACCGCGCCGTCAGAGTCGAGGTCGGCAAACGCGAGTTGCCCCGCGCCCTCGGGGAGAGAGAAATTGTAGTCGGGCGCCGCGGCCCAGCGCGGCGCCCCCACCTTTGCCGCGTTCTGCACCCAGACCAGCAACCGGCACGCCACGGTCTCACAGCCGCGCGGCGCGCTGCTGTCCAAACCGACCCTGCTCGCCGCGCCGTCGGGCAAGGCGACGACGACTAAGTCGGCGATGCAGTCGCCGTCGAGGTCGACCTAATCACAGGCGGCGAGCCGTGAGTAAGACGCCGTTCACAGCAAGCTGCGCCGCCGTGAAGGCCGCGACTTGCGCGTTCGAGTTTGGCGCCGCGGGCATGATCAGCGGGCCCGGCTCCTGCGTCATCGCACGCGCCAAATGTGAGGGGGCGGGACTACGGTCCCGTGCCGTGCCTGCGGAGCATCGCGTGAGCAGACAGGCGGCGCGTGCAGCGGACACGGCTGAGTACAGCCGAATACCTCTGCCCTCTAGCAACCTCTCGGCAACCTCTCGGCCATCTCGCGGCTATCTCCGGGCTATCTCCGGCTATCATCTAGGGGCGAGGCTACCCCCTTCTCGCCAGAGCTGCTCGCGTCGGCACCGTCCGCCGCGTGGCCAGCCGCGTCGCCTATGAGGAAAAAAGAAATGCGGGACAAGAAATGCCGGCACACGGGCCAGCCGTGCCTGCGCCGTTCCGCGCCGCGGCAGCGTCCAGCCGCCGCGACGCCCCCACCGCCCCGGCCCGCGTGTCGGCACGCCCGCCGCCCGCCCGCCCGCCGCCCGCCGCCAACCCCGCCGCGGATGCGCCGGCCGCCGGCGCGGGCCTCCGCGCTGCCGCCTTCGGCAGCGGCTTGCTTGGCCGACTGCGAAGGCCGCCCGCCGCCACGGGGACGCCCGCCGCGGGGGCATACGCCGCGCCGCCGCCGCCCGCCAGCCAGCGGGCCTGCAGCAGCGACGCGGGCGGGTCGGCGCCACCGTCGGCATCGGCGGCGCCGCCGCCCGCCGCCTCCTCCACGCCACCCTGCTCGCCGCCGGCCGCCGCCGCCGACAAACGCTCGCGCGGCGCCGCGGCCGCCACGCTGCGGCCGATCGGCTCGCTCACGGCGCGGTCCGCCGCCGCCTCCTCGTCGCCCCGCGCGGGCGCAAAGGCTCCAAACGGAGTCGCGACCGCGAAGTCGCCGGCTTGGCCGCGCGGCCGCATGAGCGCCGCGGTGCTCGTCGGCGCGGGCAGACAGCGCGTCCCGCCCACCACCTGCTCTCAGACAGTCTCGGGTCACCTCGGGTCACCTCGGGGGCGTGTCGCCCCGGCACCCAGCCGTGCACCTAGCCGTGCGCTGCAGAGGAGCTGAGAGGCGCGAAGCAGGCCTGCCTGCCCGTCCTGCCTGCCTGTCCTCCTTCACGCCCTCAGCTCTGTCTGCCTGTCGCCCGCGCCGTGTCTGTCTGTCCGGAGCCTGCCTGCCCGTCCTCGCACTGCCCGTGTGTGCTGTGACCTTGGGCCCAGGGGGGGTGTGCTTGCGCGAAGAGGCCTCGCTTGCCCGTGTGCGGTGTGCCGTGCGACTACCCGCCTGCGGTGACCCGGCCGGGGCAGCTGCTAGGGGCAGCTGCTAGGGGCGATCGAAGGCACGCTCCAAAGCCTCGCTCCCTCCTGCCCCGCCCTCCAGAGCCTCGCTCCCTCCTGCCCCGCCCTCCAGAGCCTCGCACCCCTCCAGCGCGTGGAGACAGGCGCGCGTCGCGCATCTACACACGCACCGCGGTGCAAGTCAGACCGCAGCCGCAGCAATCGCCAACGCCGCACCTCTCGTTGAGCATGCCGCAGCTCGGTCCGCCTGACGGAGTTCCGAGAGGGGTCCAAGAGGGGTCCGAGAGCGGTCCGAGAGGGTTCCGAGAGCGGTCCGAGAGGGTTCCGAGAGCGGTCCGAGCGGGGTCCGAGAGGGGTCCGAGAGGGTTCCGAGAGCGGTCCGAGAGGGGTCCGAGAGGGGTCCGAGAGGGGTCCGACCGCCGCCGCGGTGCGCACAGACGGAACGCGCCGAACACTGCAGCACCCCGTCTCTCGGCTATACTTCGGCTATGCAACACGCCGCATCTCGGCTATACTTCGGCTACACAGGTGTCCGGGACGGGTCCTGCACACGTCGACCACGCGTCCGCCGCGGAGGAGGGCGTGGAGGGCGGGCGCTGGAGGCGGAGGCGCTGGAGGCGGAGGCGCTGGAGGCGGAGGCGCTGGAGGCGGAGGCGCTGGAGGCGGAGGCGCTGGAGGCGGAGGCGCTGGAGGCGGAGGCGCTGGAGGCGGAGGCGCTGGAGGCGGAGGCGCTGGAGGCGGAGGCGCTGGAGGCGGAGGCGCTGGAGGCGGAGGCGCTGGAGGCGGAGGCGCTGGAGGCGGAGGCGCTGGAGGCGGAGGCGCTGGAGGCGGAGGCGCTGGAGGCGGAGGCGCTGGAGGCGGAGGCGCTGGAGGCGCGGAGGGCGGCGGAGGGCGGTGTGGTGGGCGGGATGGTCGCGGCGGGGATGGAGGCGGTGGTGGGCGCGGCCATAACAGAGAAGGCAGTCTCGTTGGCGGCCGTGTCTTGGCTACACCTCGGCCTCGACTATATCTCGACTGTATCTCGGCTACCTCGGCTATATCTCGGGTGATCGCTCGCCCGTCTCTTCGGTTGCGTTGGCAAAGCCGGCGAGGAGGGCGAAGCTCTTGCCGCCTAGATGACCCGAGATGACTCGAGATGACCCGAGATGACTCGAGATCAGGCGAGGGGGAGCTCTTGCTGCCGTCGACGTCGACCGGCGTCGGCTGCTCCGAGGCGGGCGGCAGCGGCGTGCAGTGGAAGCTGTGGTTGCACAGCCTCATGTTGACCAGCGAGGAGCAGTACGGGTGCGCCTGCTCACGGGTGGTGGCGGGCTCACGGGCAGAAAGGGCTTGCACAGGAGACGGTGCCGTGGGGCGGCGGGGAGGGCGAGAGGGAGGAGGCAGAGGCGGGTGGGGAAGTGGCGGCGGCGACAGTGAGGGCGGTGGCGGTGGCGGCGGAGGCAGCGATGGAAGTGGCGGTGTCGGCGTCGCGGAGCTTCACACTATTGATTCCCATCGTATTCAATAAGATTGCTGCATAGAATCGCCTCGAAGACGACGGCGTCGAGTGCTCCGTTGTAGTCGTAGTCGCCCGGGATGAGGCCGAGCAGGCCTGGCATTGGCCAGGTGCTGCGCTCCTCGAAGCGGAGAACGTCGGGCCGCTGCGCGCGCGCGGGGCGAGCGGTGGCGAGCGAGGCGTGAGCAGTGCGCCGGAGGGAGGCGGGGGCTGTCGGAGGCAGGTGCGCGAACGCGTGGGCCGTGCGGCGTCTGCGCGGCGGCTGGCTCTCACCCAGAGCCACGCCGCGAGCTGCTGGTTGCCATTCCCGTCGAGGGACGCGGCGAGGATGTCGATGAGCGAGTCGCCGTCATAGTCTGCAAATGCGAGTGGCGTTGCGTTGAAGCGGCTCAGTCCGACGTTGGCGGTGACGTCGCGCAGGACGGTGCTGGTCGGCACGTAGGGATTGACGGGGAGGCGCAGCACCAGGTCATGGCCGGGGTCGGTCATCCAGCGCGGCGCCCGATATACGAGTACTATATAAAGAATTCGTGCGCAAGCAGACTTTCTTCCTACCTAGACTGGCTACACCGCGGCCCAGATCGAGCACTTCGCCCCCCTCTTGGAGAAGCACTTCGGCAACATGGTCTCCATCCAGGAGGGATACCACTCCTTCCTGGGCACGAAGTCGGACGAGAAGGACGGCTCGATCCTCTTCAAGGTGAAGAACGAGAACCTCGTCTGCAACCTCCCGGTCCTGCCCAACGTCTACGCGAGCGGCGATGTCGGCGGACCCCTCCGCCTCGACGTCGGGTGCGTCAAGGTCCTCGGCAACAAACTCTGCCCCTCCTGCCGCGCATTTGGGTTGACCAACGCCGACATCATCCACGACGCGCAGTGCGCCGCGCAGGCGCTCAAGGAGAGGCGCGCCGCAGCGGCGAACGTCGCCAAGAAGAAGACCTTCGAGAGCCTCATCGTCGACAACAAGGTCGAGGTCGCGCGCGCGGCGGGCAAGGCCAAGGCGATGGCGGCGCGCGACGGGATCGGCTTCTGCCCGGCCTTCAACCAGACCGCCCTCCCGTGCAAGACCGCCGCTCGCTGCCGCTACGCGCCGTGCGTCAACTTCGAGGCGCTCCTCCACTCCGCCTTCAAGGACACTATCTACGAGCGCATGCCGAGCGCGGTCAGGCTGGGCACAAGCCGCGGGCGGCGCGGGCGCGGCGGCCGCGGCCGCGGCGGCGGCGGCGGCGAGGTCAAGAGCAACAAGAAGGACTGGGCGAGCGTCGCCCGCGGAGCCGCCCGCTCCCCCTACGACGGCGGCCCACTCCTCGAGTCCAACGAGCCCTCGCTATACGGGGGGAGCGACGAGGAGCTCTAGGAACGGCCGCCGAGCCCTTCCCGCAGCGCAACCCTAGCAGCGCAGCGGGCAGGGCGGCTCGCGCAGCGCGCGCGCGCGATCGCGCAAGCGGCGCGCGAGAGCGAGCGAGCGAGCACACACACACACACACACACACACACACACACACACACACACACACACACACACACACACACACACATGTTGTACACATGCACAGACACACAGCCCCTTCCCCTTCAAGGGCGAGGACACGCGCAGGGGTCGCACTTCTAGCGAGGCCCACAGAGTGGGAGACTCCTATCACCGCCACTGCCACCCACGTGTCAGTCTGCCTGTGGTAGAAGAGACTGCCGGTGAGAAGTCGGAGGAAGGTCGCTAGTCGAGAGAGATCGCCAGTGGATAGGGAGTCCACCGTGCTGCGAGCCTGTCGCTGTCCCTTGTCAGGAGCAGGAGAACTAGGAGAGCGCAACCAGTAGGAGGCCCGCGCTTGCCCCCGTGCCGCCGGGTGCAACCTGTCCTATACGAGAGAGGAATCCCTGGGACCCTGTCGTGAGGGTGAACCCTGCCCAGCCCCCCTCCGTGTCGCGATGCGCTCCCCGCTCCCGTTCCCCTGTGTCCCTGATCGTCCTTACAAGAAGCTCGCCGCGGATTGGCACATTGGTCGCATAGACGCTCGACTGGAGGGCTTTGCGGATCTGGGCGTGCATCGACGCCAGGGCCCGCACGCGCGCGCCCTCGTCGCCCTGCAGCGCGTCGAGCTCGCAGTCGTTGTCCGTGAAGCGCACGCGCTCTCTGTGGATGGGCGGAGTGAGCATATTTAGCGTCAAGAACCGAATGTGCGCGAGGTCGAGCAGCAGGTACGCGACGTTGCTGGCGTACACGAACCTAGCTGTGGGGTAGCCAGCACCTCCGACAACGTCTATCGACAGGTAGATATTTTCCGTGCAGTCGTCGGCACAGGCGTGCGTGTTGGCGTACTTCTCGTGCAGACGTGTCGCGTCTGCCTGATCAATCCTCATTCCGGATGGACGGCCGCCAGATGGCGACCATGTCTGGTTGCGCGTCGATAGCCAGGTCGATGCGCTGTCCAGAGTGGTTCGCTGGCTCATGCCGCCGCCCTGTCGTAGGGTGAGTACGAGCGATCCATGCTCAGAGTGCATGGTGGACACGCTCAATACCGGCGAAAGCGCCGAAACGCCGTGAGACAGTTGGAGGTTGCTCTTGCATTTGGGGAACCACATGGTTTTGTTGGCCTCGAGGAGGCGCCGGGCAAAGGCGTTGACGGAGAGGCCGTAGAGCCCTGGATCGGCGAAGCCAACTTCGAAAGACTCTCTTTCGCACCACGAAGCGTGGGGGCATGAGCCACCGCAGCACCGCATGCCCGAGAGCGCGGTGGTGAACTCCTCCTTGGTGACCCGACCGTTGCTGTCAGCATCGTACGTCGAGCGGAGGAGACTAAAAGCAGCGTAGTTGGTGACCTCGTCCGTGCCGTCAAGGATCGATCGGATGTCGCATTGGTCCCACGCGTCGGAGGCCGGGAGAAACTCGGCTGTGGCCGGCGGCAGGTCGGTGGCGGCGCAAAAGCGGTCGTTGGGCTGCCTCCACTTGACCTCAACATCCCTCCCGCTGGCCTCGATGTCGAGGAGGTAGATTGAACCGGAGCCCTTTGCGTACAGCGAGGCGGAGGCGATGGCCGAGGAGATGGCAACAAAGTCGCCATCGCCCGCATACCACGAGACATGGTTGATGGTGGCATTGTCGACGCGTGCCGAGAGGGTGGGGACATGCTTCCACCACGCGCCCACGCGCAAGCCCGGCACTACAGCGCCAGGCTGCACCGTGATGACCGGGAGCGGGACAGCTCCCCCTTTTTGCACCGAAGCTTGGTCGACTGTGAATGCGCCTGTGGCGCCGGGTGGAACGGTCACCTTGACCAGACATACGCGCCTGCACGACTGGAGCACCTCGCTCTCGCAACCAATGGGGTTCCTGGCCGTGAGCGCCTCGGCAATGTTGGCATCCGTCGATCGAACCACGAACCGGAAAGACCTGGCGGATGTGAGCGACGCGTACTCCACATCCGCAGTGGAGCCGGGTAAAAAGTCGAGATCGCACGCTCCTAGGGTTAGCTTGAGCCCATTCGCTGGATCGTACCGCTTCGTCTCCGCGATCACGTATGACCCTATTGTTATCCCACAGGCGGCATGATCTGATGGGCGCCACTATATGGCGACGTATCCCCACAGGAGACGCAGCGGCGCCTGGCAATGCGATGAGCATCCAAGCGAGCACGAACGCAACAAGGAAGATGAAGAAGAACGTCAGGCGCACGCATCGCCTTCGACCCGCTTTTCTAGCCTCCGTCTTCTGCTTTGCCACCAGGCGCGCCTCGAAGACCTGCTGCGGCGTCTTGCTCGGCCCAGCGGGGCCGACCTTGGCCGGCGGAGGCATGGTCGCGGGTACGGGGCGGGCCGTTTCAATTGTACTGACTACTGTCACTGTCAAGCGGATTGATTTTGTTTTTCTGTTTTTTTGTTTTAGGTATGTTGTTGGCAAATCAAGACACAGAGCTCACACAGAATCACAGCGGGAGGAAAGCGGCGAGTCGCAATTCCAGGGGTCGTTGTGGCGGGCCACCCTGTCCAGAGAGGCATGGATGCCAATCTGGGGTCTCTCGACCGAGTCTGATTTTGCCTCGCCGCCTCCCGGTGGTAAGGCTGTAGAGCCAAAGCGGCGGAGATGGCGGGGGAGGGCGGGGGATCGAGGAAAGCACGACTCGCACCGACCCTTCACGAACCGAAAGGCTGCACCCGGGGAAGGCACAGTAATCCGGGCACGTGTTGGGCGCCCCGTTCCGTCTGGGGCTAGGTCGGCTCAGGGCCCCATCCACTTCCCTCCCGCTTGGCGCGTGATGATGAGGAGTTGCCACCCAGGCCAGCCAGGGCAGGGGCGGAGGGCGAGGGCGGAGGGTGTTTTGTTTTTTATGATCTTTAGATGAGCGACCCGGAGGGTGATGGCGGCGGACGGCCATTCCTACGAGCGGAAAGCAGATCGAGCGCTGGCTCGCGACCAAGTCGACGAGCCCGATGACGGGCGAGGCGCTCCAGCACACGCACACCTTCCCAAACCACGCGCTGCGCGGGCGGATTCGAGAGGAGTGGCAACCGGCGCATTAATATTGAGGTTTGAGCGGTTTCGCGCGCCCATTCTCGTGGCCCTGGGGTGAGCGGTAATGTTCTGTTTCCGCAACCGTGTGAACACCTCTGGGCCGGCGCGGGGGGCCCAGAGGGTGTCCATGCGGGGGGGAGATGGGGCCCTATGGCCCGCCGCAGGCGCCGATTTTTCAGGGGTTTCTTTTTTCTGCTATTTTTTACTTGTTTTCATGGGAATTCGGCGTACTTGCGGCCATGCTGTCAGGCTGTCAGGTGCTGTCAGGTGATCTGTCGGGCTGTCGGGCAGCTGTCAGGCACTGTCAGGTGCCTATGTCAGACCAGCTGTCAGTTGCTGTCAGTGCTGTCGGGTGCTGTCGGGTGCGTGTCTGACATGCGAGGGGCTCTGTAGCTGTCGGGTGCTGTCGGAGCTGTCGGGTGTTGCTGTCAGACGCTGTCGGAGCTGTCAGAGCTGTCAGGCTGCTGCTGCTGTCAGAGAGACGCTGGGCTGTTACTGTCAGGTGCTGTCAGGTGGTGCTGTCGGGCTAGCTGTCGGGGTGCTGTCAGGCTCTGACACACACCAGCCACACTTATGACACTATCAAGAGGAGACCAGCGGGTACGCAGCTGCCCCCCTCCTACGGCGTGATCACGCCGGCAGGGGCGGCCGCCTGGGCCGCAGCCTGGGGAGCGCAGATGGCGGCGCAGGCGCAGGCCGCGGCGGCGGCACAGACGGCGGCGGCCACCCCACCCAGACGCCGTAGGCATATGGCTGTAGGGCCCCAGAAGGCTAGCTGGTAGCTTCATTTGTAGTAGCAGCACAGCCGCCGGTGCTAAAGCCGTAGAGTCTAGAGAGGGGTGTCCGCAGAGCCTCTGCCAGAGGTGGGGCGGGAGGGTTGAGAGAGAGACCCATGACCATCCCATGACTACATGGACCACACTCACATGTTCATGTCTTTGCATGTAATAGTTTTGTTATACCCTCATGGGGCACAAGAAAGAGGCTCTACGGGGGGGGTCTGACTGTGTACGGTCTGTGCTGCTGTCGGGCTGTCAGCGCTGCTGTCAGGCCACTGTGTGCTGTCGGGCTGTCGGGCAGCTGTCAGGCTGTCACGTTAGGGCCTGACAGCGACGGAGCGCCTCGCCTGTCAGGCTCTGCTGTCAGGCTGTCAGATACGTGCTGTCAGACTGTCAGAGAAAGTGCTGTCAGCGCTGTCAGGCTGTCGGGCACTGTCAGGCGCTGTCCGGGGTTTGCTGTCAGGCTGTCAGACCAGGGCTCAGGCAAGGCCGTGGCACTTCCCCAGATGCGGCCGCCCGCCCAGCCCGGCCAGCACCCGCTCGAGCGCCGCTAGGCGTCCCCACCCTGCCGGCAGGGCGACGCGCCAGAGCACGTTCGCGCACACGACCGGCCCGTCCGCGTTGACGCCCTGCTCCGCTCTCCCGGGCCCGCCCACGAACTTGAGCTCGAGCGTCTTGCCCGCGCAGCCGCTCGCGGCGAGGAAGCCCGCGCTGCCCAACGTGGCCACCAGCTCTGCGAGCGCCGCCCGCGGCAGAGCGTACTCGAGCGACACCCACCGCGCCGTCGGCCCCGGCTCCGCCGCACCGCCCTCGCCCTCGCCACGCGGTGCCGCGAGCGGCGGCGCGCCGCGATACCAGTTCTCGCCGTCATAGCGCGCCGCGCCGGGTGCCGGGGCGCGGCCCACGTCCTCGAGCGCGCACGCGCAGAGCTGCGGCTCTCCGAGCGCCCACCAGACCCAGAGGTGGCGGTAGGCCTGTGAGCGGTGAGTGAGGAGGAGATGCTCATTGATTAGGCGGGTGCACGGGTCAGTGCTCCGCATCTAGGGTGGCAGGCCTCGCACATAGCGTCGCAGCGCGCGACAAACGCGGCCAGGTCCATGGTGTGCACGTGTCGCCGCACGTAGTACCGAGGCTCGCACTCGAGCGTGATGCTCACCTGCACGAGATGAGTTGACGTTGTACTCTGCAGAGTACAGGCTCGCACGCGAGCGTGATGCGCCCACCGCCACGCCCCGCACGCCCAGAGAGACGCGCGCAGCCCGCAGCGACGGCGGAGCAGTGGGCGCGGAGACGCCATGGCCTTCCCCGCCGCGGCCGCCGCCGCTCCCGTTGGCCGCCGTGCCGGCAGCGACCGCAGCCTCGCCCTCCACCTCGCTACGTCTCTCCCCCTCTGCCCCTCCCCCTCCCCACTCCCCGCACGCCTCGCCCCCCGCCCCTCCCTCTTCGGAAAGACTCACCCGGCGGCCGGCGCCGCACCGCAACTCGAGCGCGACCACCGCGTCCGCCAGCGTGCCGTCCCGTGGCGCCGAACCGTGCGATCCCGCTCCTGGTGCAGGGACATGGGGAGCTGAGGGCGAGAATGCAGTGTCGTGCGGTGTGGTCAGACTCTGAACGGCCGAACTATGGCTGCAGAGCGACTGCAAGCAGCAGCATCGCGGCTGCAAAACAGCGGAACACGCTGCCTTCGAAAGTGCTATTTGGAAGGCAGGGATCGGCTGTTCTGCATCTGAGTGCCCCGCGCCGAGCGTCGCCCCGCCGACCGTCTGCTCGAGCAGCATCGGCCACGAGCCTACGGTCAGGTCGTGCGCCGCGAGCACGCGCCGCAGCTCGCGCAAGCTCAGCCCCGGCTCAACCGTCACCCGCCGCCGCGCCGCGTCAATGCAGAGCACGCGCCGCATCCCGCCCAGCCGCAAACTGAGCACGCCCGCCCCCTCGCCGCCCGCCTCGCCGCCCGCCTCGCCGCCCGCCTCGCCGCCCGCCTCGCCGCCCGCCTCGCCGCCCGCCTCGCCGCCCGCCGCCGCATAGGAGCCGCTCCAGCTGTGTGCAGCGCCCAGGGGGAGCGCCTACAGCCGAGAGAGAGCCGAGAGGTAGCCGAGAGATAGCCGAGAGAGATCCGAGAGGTAGCCGAGAGATGGCCGAGAGGTAGCCGAGATCCGCGGGGCGCGCCTCCAGCCGCAGCGAGGCGGCGAGGGCGAGGGCGCCGCCCACCTCTGCCGCCGTGGCGCACGGCAGCAGGAGCCTCGGCACAAAGAAGCGCGTCCCGCTCGCGTCGCTCACCTCGGTGGGCGGCACGGAGACCCATATCTCCCCATATCTCCCCATATCTCCCCATATCTCCCCATATCTCCCCTCACCTCGGTGGGCGGCAAGGAGAGCAGCGGCGAAGCTGCAGCGCCACTCTCTGCCGCCGCGAGCGCCTCGGCCGCAGCCACCACCCGTCGCGTCTCGCTCGACCGGAGCAGCATCGACACGAGAGCGAGGTCGCGCAACGCCTGCCGGACGTGTCGTCGTGCCGTGGACGTGTCGTGGACGTGTCGTGGACGTGTCGCGGGCGTGTCGCGGACGTGTCGTCGTGTCGCGGGCGTGTCGCGGGCGTGTCGCGGGCGTGTAGCGGGCGTGTAGCGGGCGTGTCGTGGACGTGTCGTGGACATGTCGTGGGCGCGCCTCGTCGCAGCCGAGCAGGCAGTGGGTGCCCCACGGCGCGGCCGCAAGGCTCGCCTGCAGGAAGGTTCCGAGAAGGTTCCGAGCAGCTTCCGAGCAGGCAGCGCCCCGCAGTCGCAAGGCTCGCCGGCCACAGCCCCGCGCGGCGGACGACCAGCGCTCTCACCGCGGTCAGCGCGTGCTCGAGGCTCTCGGCGACGCCGCCCTCCACCCACCCGTCGCCGTCGAGAAGCTGCGTCGTGGCCTCTCCGCCGAAGCGCTCGAGCGCGACGCGCGCCCGCCCGCACCTGTGCCCGCCCCCCTCCTCCGCCGCCCAGAGGCAGAGAGCGCCGAGCTCGCCCTCGAGAATCAGCGACGGAGGCGCGGCGGAGGAGGAGGAGGAGGAGGAGGAGGAGGAGGAGGAGGAGGAGGAGGAGGCGGAGGCGCGGCGAGGACCGCCCGAGCTGAGTGCGAGGGTGGCGGCGGAGCTGCAGTGCTCGAAGCGCACCCAGCCGCATAGCGAGCCGCCGCCCGCGCCATCCGCGCCGCTGCAGAGCGCGGCCGAGCCCTCGACAGGCTCTCCGAGCGCCTCTCGGAGCAGCCGCGCCCAGTGCACGCCCGCGTCCACCAGCCACGCGCCTTCTCCGGCCTGCGAGCGCCACGGCGGCTCCCGCCCGCCGCCCGCCGCGCGGTCTGCCGGGTCGGCTGGGTGGTGGTGCGAGAGGTGCGCCGAGACCACGCGGCCGATGGCGCCCTCCTGCAGCCGCTCGCGCAGCCAGCGGACGGACGGCTTGAACTGCCAGTTCTCGAGCACCAGCCACACGGGCGCACGCGGCCCGAGCTCGGCGATCGCGTCGAGGAGGCGGCGGGCCGCTTCGATCGACGGCGCAGCCGGCTTCTCCGAGAGCACGTGCTTGCCGGCGCGGAGCGCCGCCTCGACCGCTGCCGGCATCAGCGGGATCGGCAGCACGAGCAGCACAGCGTCCACGTCCGCATCTGCAAAGAGCTGCTCCATCTTGGCGAAGCGGCGCACCTCCCGCTCGGGGTCGGCGGCGTGGATCTTGGCCTCAGCTCGCGCCATGGACTTGCGCGTGCGCGAGCACACGGCAGTGAGGCGCACGCCGACCCGCTGCTCGAGCGCGAGCAGCGCCGGCACGTGCGCCCGCAGTGCAAACCACGAGCAGCCGACCAGGCCGAGCTTGAGCCGCGGTGGCTCCCACGCCATCGGTCAACACTGATACGGCCTCTCCCACGCTCTCGTGGGAACTCTGTGGGCAGATGACGAGCGCAGCTAGCCGATAGGCGTCCCGCGGGCGTCGGTGCCTCCCTGTTTGCGACACACATTTCTTCTTCTGACTAGTGATCTGTGATCTGCACACGTTCTCGTTGGTGCGCCAGTTCTGTGGGAGGGAGTTTTCTGGCAAAACTAGTTTTTCTCAGCCGTCGGCAACGATTTTTTTTCGTGCCACTCTCGGGCTTTTAGAATTCTTCTGCCTTGGAAAAGTCTTCCTCTCGTTCTCCCCGACCCCCATGAGGATGAGCCATGTTTGGCTGAAAGCTAGTGTGTGTTTGATGATTGATGTACTCACCTATGGTCCTCTGTGGAGGCCGAGACGGGTGCGCATGTGTCCTCGAGACGGGTGTCTCAGAACGCAAAACAAGTAAGGTCTAAGCGCGTGAGGGGCGACACGAGAAGCGGAGGGCGCAGGCGGAAGTGGCAACACCCGCCGCCCCTAACTCCACGCAGAGCATGCGCGACGTATGTGGCCCCGCTCTCCTCCGCCCCGCGGGGCGGAGCGCTATTCGCCGCGTGCGGGCGCCGGCTCACTCCCACTCGGTCGTGGCGGGCGGCTTGGAGGTGATGTCGAGCGCGATGCGCGCGATGCCCGGCACCTCGGCCAGGATGCGCCGCTGCAGCTCGACGAGCATCTCGAGAGGGAGGTCGCGGCCGGGCAGCGCGGGCTTGCCCGTCATGAAGTCGCGGGTGATGAAGGCGCGGATGCCGATCGAGCGCGCTCCCTCCACGCCGAAGCCGACCGGGAAGAGCACCACCGGCACCTGGGCGAGCGAGCGGAGCAGGTTGTACTTGGTCAGCGTCTGCGTGACGATGTGGTCCGCCGCGCGGAGCTGGTCGAGCGCGTCGCGCGTGAGGGTCGTCGGCGTGATGGCCTTTGGCGCCGCGGCGATCTTCTCGCCCAGCACGTAGACGATCCGGTTCACGTCGTGCAGATGGCACGGGATCTCTTGCGCCAGCGTGAAGAGCGCCTCCCACTGCTCGTCGGGCGGAGCGTCGGAAGAGAGCGCGGCAAGGTACGAGTACGAGCGGCCGTCGCCCTGCGCGTGGAAAGGGGGGGGGGAGCGCCGAGCGGTGAGCGCCTCCGCCGCGTGCATCCACACCACGCGGCACGCGGGGGAGGAGGGCATGGGGGCACGGCCTCGGGCGGAACACAACTCTCCTCCGGGGCGGTCGGACGTAAACTGCCACTGGGTTCGCGTCGTCACGGGCGGGGCGGGTGTACAGAGTGTGCGAATCTGGTGTGCCGCTGTGCGCGCGCCTGGACGCCGACCGTGCGGACGGGCAGCAGCGCCGAAGTGAGGCGCAGCTCGGGGTGGCGGGCACACTCGGCAGCGAGGGCGGCCGAGGAGCGGTCGTACTCCTCGGTGAGGTACGGCTCGGTCGCGCAGAGCGTGCGGATGGCGAGGCCGGGCCCGGGGAAGGGCTGCCTCCAGACGAGCGGCGCCGGCAGCCCGAGCTCGATCCCGAGCTCGCGCACCTCGTCCTTGTGGTAGTCCTTGAGCGGCTCGATGATGCGCCCCTGCGGGACGAAGAAGGGGTCCGAGAAGGGGTCCGAGAAGGGTCGGGAGAGAAGGGTCGGGGAAAGGGTCGGAGTCCAACGCGGCTGGCTTGGGAGCGGGTGGGAGAGGGGGCGGGGGGTGGGGTGGGGGGTGGGGGTGGGGGTGGGGGGGAGAAAGAGGGGGAGAGAAAGGGCGGAGAAAGAGGGGGAGAGAAAGAGGGGGAGGGAGGGGGGCCTGGTCGCGCAGGTCGCGGACGAGCTGCGTGTCGTTGTGGTGCGTCTTGATGACGTTCGCGTTGGAGGAAACGAGGGTGGAGGCCGACTCGATCAGGTCGGGCCGCAGCGTGCCCTGCGCGAGGTACACATCCTCCGCCTTGAGCCCCTTCTTCTCGACCATCGCCTGGGTGACCCGCATGAACGTGTCGCCGATGATCTTGCGCTTGAGCTCCGGCGCGCACTCGGTGGCGAGCGGGAGCGAGGTCTTGCCGTTGACCTCGGTGACCGCCTCTGCAAAGTCCTTGGTCGCGTCGAGCGCGTCGATCGGCACGCCCAGCGCAGCGAGCGCCTTCACGACGCCCGACGACTCCTCGTGACGCATGAAGCCGTGGTCAATGTGCAGCGCAATCAGCCGCTCCGGCCCGATGGCCTTGTGCAGGAGAGCAGCACAGACGGAGGAGTCGACGCCGCCGGAGACGAGGACGAGCACCTTCTTGTCGCCCACGGTGGCGCGGATCTCCTCGATCGCCGCCTCCTGCCGCGACTCCATCGTGTAGGAGCCGGACAGCTTGGCAACCTGCGCGCCGGCGCGGGGCGGGCTGGGGCGGGGGGCGGGCCGGGGCGGAAGGGCGGGCCGGGGCGGAAGGGCGGGCCGGGGACGGGGCGGAGGGGCGGCCGTGGGAGGGGAGGCGCGGCGGGAGCGAGGCGGAGGCGCCTTGAAGAGGAAGTTCGAGAGGATGGCGTTGCCGTCGACCGACAGGTCCACCTCGGGGTGGAACTGGACGCCGTACAGCCGCCGCTCGGCGCACTCGATCGCAGCGACGATCTGGCCCGAGCGGCCGACGATGCGGAAGCCGTCGGCGGGCTTGTCGACCGAGTCGCCGTGCGTGAGCAGCACCTTGGTCGACGAGCCGAGCCCCTCGAACAGCGTCGACCCCTCCTCGACCTGAGTGGCGCGGGCGAGGCACCAGGGCGGTGGGGAGCGGCGAGGACAGCGGTGAGGGCGGGGTGGAGTGCGGTGGAGTGCGGTGGTGAGGGCGTGAGGGTGGTGGGGAGGGGCGAGACGGCCCACGCCAGGAGCGAGCGGCGCTCCTCCACGCCAAAGACGATAGATCTCCCCAGATCTCCGCCAGATCTCGCGCGCCTGCACGTCAAAGACGCCATCTTCGCGCTTGGCGCCGCGCTCGACGGTGCCGCCGCAGCTGTAGTTCATCAGCTGCATGCCGTAGCAGACGCCGAGGATCGGGAGCCCCATCTCGAAGATCTTGGGGTCGTACTTGGGCGCGTCGTCCGCGTACACGGACGCGCCGCCGCCAGAGACGACGAGCGCGGCGTAGCCGTCCCGGCGCAGGTCCTCGGCGGATGTGTGGAGGGGCAGCAGCTCGCACTCGACCTTGAGCTCGCGGAGGCGGCGGTCGATCACCTTGCCGTACTGCGCGCCGGCGTCCAGGATCGCCACGCGCTCGGAGTGGGCGGGGGCGGCAGGGCACATATCTGCCGGGCCGAGCGCAGCGAGCGTGTGAGCGCACCGATAAAAAAGTACGGGCTGAGAGGCGAGGGCCGCCCCGGCCGTGCGGCGACGCAGGGCGTCGCGTACGACGGCAGGCGCAGCCGGGGACGCCGCTGCACCCGCGAGCGGGCTGCGTGGGAGGCGACCCGGCCGCCGTTGGCAGGCGAAGCGCGGCGGTGCAACACGGCTGGCGGGCGCGAGCGAGCGAGCCGCGGCGGTTCAGTGGCGACCGTGGCGCGGCCATGAAGACGCGCCAGGCTGCTGGGGCGGTGCTCGCGCGCGCGGGGCGGGAAGGTGCAGGCTTACCTCTCTGGCGATGAGGGTATGGACCGGAGCTGCCGGCGGGAAGGGCGAGCCGCAACGATTTTCTTTCTTTTGTGCTCGCTGACCGAAATCGCGCCCCACCGCTTATTCGGCGGCAGCGGGCGGGGCGGCGAGCGAGTCAGCGCTGCACCCTGCACGCCTCTCTCTCCAACTCTCCGTACTCCGAGCAGGTGGGAGGCAACGGCCGATGCCAGAGCTCTAGGCTAGGACACATGGCAGTACTCATGCAACATGCTCAATCAGTATTGCGAAAAATATTAACGACGACATGTCGGTGATTCGGCTTTACATGACGGGTTGGCCCGCTCTTGCACTTCCCCCAGCTGCGGCGGTGCTCGAAGCCAGCGCAGCCAGCTTCCGCGTTGCAGCGCATCCGGCACGCGGCGACAGTCATTTGCTGCCCTGTCGTGCACAGAGAGTAAGTCTCTGGACACTGGAGTAAGTCTGTCATCGATGGAGTAAAGTGCCCGAGGAGTAGAGAGATCGCAAGAATTCTACCATTACATACAAGGCCCTCTCACACCTCACAGCAGGCTGGCTCTCGGATGGCACTACAAAAGTGTACAAAAGGCATGAAATCCCACTCGATACCTCCCAAGTCTCAGCCACAAGGACTAGGTGTCGGAAGTCCGCCTTGATGCGCGGTCATTTCCCCCCAGGCTTGACTGCGTAGGTCGCGGAACTCGTTGAGTATTCGTAGCCTTTCTGCGCCTCCGTCTGCATCGCGTCGGCTGCTCTGCGGCAAGAGCAGTCTTTTCGGAAGATATCGACGATTTTCGAGAGCCACCCGCTTGGGAGCGATTGAGCGCGTCACGGAGGACTCAGGTTACCCCTGAACCTCCTCTGACGGTTCTCGCTCCCCATCGAGCTCTTCTTGCCGTACGGCTCTTCCTGTGTGTGCCGCACAGAGCTCCGTGCCAGCCGTCCAACGTGATCGTGACGAGTGTATCGCTTTGACGGATCGACCGTACTTGTTATCAAGACTGACATGACGTACACAGTGACACATCAAACGACACATGTTCTCCCACCCGCCGGGCCGCAAAACGCTCTCGACGAGAGCCACAAGAAGCCGTCCGCACAGCAAGCCGGTCGGTCGAACACGTTGCTCGCTCGATGCCGGCGAGCGCATGTCGCACGAGGTAGACGGTGGCGTAGCTAACATCACTGACGACGACCGTCCGGTCCTTCGCCTTCATCCCTAACCCAAAAAAGCACGATTCTCAAGTTGGGCCCTCGGGCGGTCGCCGTAGCCCTGAAGCCAGGCGCAGCTTGCCCATGGAACAGAAAGAAAGAAGACCGGCAGACAGTCAGAGAGCTGCACGGCCCAGACAGAGGCCCACCCACAAGTGCGGAGGAGCCAGCAGGGTCTTCGCGGCAGGCCAAGGCACGCGGGCGAAGGTCGGGGCTTCCGAGGAGCCGCGGGCCTCCACGCCTAGGCTAGGCATTCTCGCGGCTGCGCACTCAGTCAGCCCTAGCAGCCAGAAAAGCAAGAAATCGGTGCCGCATCGCAGCCTGCGACCACAGTTTCGATCGGCAGCCTCGCAGCCCGAATGCTGCCCTGCCTCCTCCCTCTCCGAGCCATGGTCGCCTGCCTGCTCGCCATGTCGTCCGCCAAGTCGATGTACCGGCCGCAGCGCGCGGCCGCGGCGGCCGCTGCGGCCGCACCGTCCACGGCGCCGGCTCCCGCGTACAACTACTCGCGAGACACGATGGAGGCGTATCAGGACGCGTCCGCGTCCAACGCCGGGAGATATCAGGCCGTCCGCGACCGCCTCGACGTGTCCTATCACGGCACCTACGCGCTCGCCCGGCAGCGGCTGCAGGACCGGCTGATTGGCTGCGCGCTGCGCGGGGTGCGAGGCGGCCGGACGAGGCCGTGGATCATCTTCACGGCGGGCGCGATGGGATCGGGCAAGAGCCGCACCTTTGAGTACCTGGTCGAGCGCGGCATCATCCCGCTGCAGGGCGTGCAGATGCTCGACTCGGACGCCTTCAAGACGCGGCTCCCTGAGTGGGAAGGCTACCTGGCGCGCGACCCGCTCTCGGCGGGGCTGCACACGCGGCGGGAGAGCGGCTACATGCTCGAGATCGCGCAGGAGGCGGCGCTGCGCGAGCGGCGCCACGTCTGGGTCGACGGCTCCCTCCGCGACGGGGAGTGGTACCAGTCCGAGTTTGCACGGCTGCGCAGGGAGCACCCTGACTACTCGATCGCGATCGTGCACGTGGTGGCGACGCGGCAGGCGGTGCTCGAGCGCGTGAAGCGGCGCGCCGCCGTCACCGGCCGCCACGTCCCCGAGGCGGAGATCGACGACTCGCTCGTCCGCGTGCCGCCGGCGGTGCGGCTGCTCGCGCCGCGCGTCGACTTTCTGGCCGTGGTGGACAACTCGGCCGAGCGGCCGCACCTGGTCGAGTACTGCACGGGGGAGACGTGCAAGCTGTGCGTCGACGACTGGGAGCAAATCGCCACCCGCCTCGAGTGCGACGCGGACGAGGGCGCCGCCGCCGCCGCCCCGCCCGAAGAGTGCCAGATCCACGACCTCGACTGGGGCGACGTGTCGAAGAACTTTGAGGCGGCGCGGCGCACCTTGAGCGCGGCGAGCAGCGACGAGTGGGGCTGACGCGGCGGATCCGCACGCTCCTGTACATCTCTGGTTGGCGAGGGTCGGGGGAGGCATGCCATGTAATTATCGAGAGGGGGTTTTGTGAGGTCTCAGCGCGGCAGCCGCGTTCGTGTCGCCCGTGTCGGCCAGGGCCTCACACCGCATACAATTTTGTCTATTGCAATATATGTCTATTACTCCGTTTTCTCTGTCGAATGTTTAATCTCAGTGTGCGCGCCGTGGGCCGCTCTCCGTGTCTCGATCTCTCGTCGCTTGCGTGCCTCTGCCTGCAGCTGCACTGCCTCTCTCTCGCCCCTCGCGCCCCTCCCCCTCCCCCCGCTCAAACCCCCCGGTCGCGGTCCGAGACCGCGCGCGCGCGCGGGCGCGGCTCTCAGTTTCACTTTTTCGCAGCGTACAAACTTGACGTGCCACTTCTCCGCACGCCGGTGTCCCCGCCGAGAGGGCGAGGTGGTGGCAACAATGGTGGTCGCAACAATACCGTACAGCCTCTCGAGTGGCGGCGGAGGGGCGGCACGCCCTCCGCCCCCCCGGCGCGTCTCTCACGCGCGCTCGGCGTGCAGCGCGCGCGCGTGCAGCTTGAGGGCGAAGAGCGGGTGCTGCACCTCGGGCAAGAGCTCGGTGGCCTCGTCCAGCGGGCTCAGGTAGAGGTCCTGCAGCAGCAGCCGCGCGCCGCGCTTGCCCGCCTCGACCGTCTCGAGCGCGTTCGCCGCGTCGCACGTTTCGACGTGCACGCGAAGCTTCTCGGAAAGGTCCTCCTCCTTGAGCCGCTTCGCGCGCACCTGGCTCAGGCGCGGGGGGAGGGGGGGGGGGGCTCCGGCTCAGGGGGGAGGTGCGCCCCCCGTATGCTCTCCCGCTGCCCTCTCCGCCCGCCCCGCCCCGCCCCGCCCCGCCCCGCCCCCACACGGCAGCGCGCGCCTGCTCGAGCAGCGCGTCGTGCTCCGCGTCGCGCGGCCGCGCCCGCTGTCGCCCGCCGCCCGCCTCGCCGCCCGCCTCGGCCAGCTGCGACATCATGCCTACGCTGACAGCACCCCCCCCCGTCGAGCTGCGGCGGGCAGCGATGCGCCCGACGGGCGGGCTGCCGATCAGCGCGCGAGAGACGTCGGGGATGTACTTTGTCAGGTTCTTCTTCTTCTCCCGCTCGTCGGCGAGCGCGCGCTGCTTGACGATCTTCGCCTTGAGCTGCAGGCAGCACCTGCGGAGCAGCAACGCGAGCGCGTCAGACGGCGCGGGCGCGGCGGCGTCCTCGGGCGAGACGCGGCCGGCGCTTTTCGATGGCGCGTTTGACCGCCTCCCGCACCTCCGGGATGTCGTCCCCGATGTACTCCTTGCCCGTCCCCTTGAAGGGCACCTGCTCCCGGCGAGACGCGTGGGCAGTGCGCTGCTCACAGCGCTGATCGGGCAGCTGAAGGGCAGCTCCAGTGGACGTGTGATGGACGCATGGTGGGCGCGTCGCCGGCGGCAGGCACGGAGCTCTCTCTCTCCCCCCCCCCCCCAAAGGGGCTGCCTTTGTGCTCACGAGACTGACGAAGACGCCGATCTTGTCCTGCCCCCATGAAGACGGACGCCTCAACCAGAGTGGGGAGGGGCGAAGGGAGCTAGCCCCCGCGGTCTGCGGTCGGTGTCCTGCGTGTGTCGGATCTTGTAGTTTGCCCACGCGATCCGCTTCTTGCTGACGACGGTGGCGACGTCACCGCCGCCCTCGAAGAGGAGGGGGATGCCTGCCCACGCCACAGGGTGTGAGGAGCCGCGGTCCGCAGCAGTCCGCGCCTCGCAGGAGGAGGGGTGCGGTTGGCGAAGCGGTAGACGGTGATACCGGGCTTGGCGTCGCGGCCGCCCAGGCAGACGCCGGCCTCGATCACGGCTGGGTGGCCTATGGCAGCGCGCGGCGGACACAGGTCCGCGGGGCGGGCCCTGCGCCGGATCGCGCCTCGGCGAGGGGGGAGGGGCGGGCCCTCGACGACACACGCGCTCTCCTGCAGTGCAAGTAGTGACGGTGAGGCGAGGCGAGGCGAGGCGAGGCGAGGCGAGGCGAGGCGAGGCGAGGCGAGGCGAGGCGGTCTTCCCCCCACACGAGGCGGTGGGGCGAGGGGGCTCCTGGTGCGTCGCGACGAGGTCGGGGCGCAGCTCCTTGAGGATGCCGAGCCGCATGTTGTACTCTCCCACAGGGGAGAGGCAGCTCGCCTGTCGCACAGAGACCGCCGAGTGTCGCCGAGAGATCGCGGCACCGCCCCACACCCCCCTCGGTGCAGTTACCTATCCGAGCCATTCCGAGACGCTCCTGCTGCACTCGCCTGTTCCTCGGGAGGGGGGAGGGGGGGAGGGGGGGGGGGGGGGAAAGGGGGGGGGGGGCTCCGATGGGTTTCCAAAGGTCGCGTCGCGCAGCAGCTGGTACAGGGCGACGATCTGCTTGTCCTGCGGCGTGTCGACAGGGCGCGTGATTAGTTGAGTCATTAGTTGAGTCATTCGCTCCTGACGTTGGCCATCCGTTCAGTCGCCTGCAGCGTGTCGACGGGCGTGTCGGCGGCCCACTGCAGCTCGGCGACGAGTCGCCTGTTGGGTCGTTTCCTGGACATGTCTCGGACGGGTCCTGGACGTGTCCCTAGCTCGGCGACGAGTCGCTTGGCGAGCGGCATCGAGACGCAGGAGAGCTCCTATGGGTCGGGGTGCCATCCCAGATGACGACCCCTGGCCTCCCGCAGGAGCGCATTCCTCGAACTGACGGGGGTGGGTCGTCGAGTGGGGAGAGGGGTCTCGGAGCTGAAGGGGTCGTTGAGTGGTCAGTGAGCAGAGAGGGGGGGGGGGGGGGGAGGGACTTGGAGGGACTTGGAGGGACTTGGAGGGTCCCCGTGTCTGGCTTGTTTGAGAGCTCCTTGGAGAGGAACTTGACGAGCTGCCTCTCCTTCCCCTCGCGCAGCAGCGACGTGAGCAGCTCGAGGTTGACCGAGGAAGGGTGGTGCTTGATCGTCGACGGCGAGGGCGGCATCTCGTCCGAGCGGCGGGCGTACCTGCCCCGAGCGGTGGGAAGAGAGGCGAGGGCGGCATCTCGTCCGAGCGGCGCTGAAGTGTCTTTGACGAAGCGTCTCTGAAGCGTCTGTGAAGCGTCTGTGAAGCGTCTGTGAAGCGTCTGTGAAGCGTCTGTGAAGCGTCTCTGAAGCGTCTCTGAAGCGTCTCTGAAGCGTCTCTGAAGCGTCTCTGAAGCGTCTCTGAAGCGTCTCTGAAGCGTCTCTGAAGCGTCTCTGAAGCGTCTCTGAAGCGTCTCTGAAGCGTCTCTGAAGCGTCTCTGAAGCGTCTCTGAAGCGTCTCTGAAGCGTCTCTGAAGCGTCTCTGAAGCGTCTCTGAAGCGTCTCTGAAGCGTCTCTGAAGCGTCTCTGAAGCGTCTCTGAAGCGCGTACTCGAGCGCGAGGGTGCTTCGCTCCGAGAGAGTGCTCACGCGCAGGCCAAAGCGCGCGTACGGCGTGATGACGGCCATCTGCCGCAGGTAGCGCACCTGCAATCTCGGGTCCTCTCGGGTCCTCTCGGGTCCTCTCGGGTCCTCTCGGGTCCTCTCGGGTCCTCTAGGGTCCTCTAGGGTCCTCTCGGGTCCTCTCGGGTCCTCTAGGGTCCTCTCGGGTCCTCTCGGGTCCTCTCGGGTCCTCTCGGGTCCTCTCGGGTCCTCTCGGGTCCTCTCGGGTCCTCTCGGGTCCTCTCGGGTCCTCTCGGGTCCTCTCGGGTCCTCTCGGGTCCTCTCGGGTCCTCTCGGGTCCTCTCGGGTCCTCTCGGGTCCTCTCGGGTCCTCTCGGGTCCTCTCGGGTCCTCTCGGGTCCTCTCGGGTCCTCTCGGGTCCTCTCGGGTCCTCTCGGGTCCTCTCGGGTCCTCTCGGCCGCATCTCGGTACTCTCGCACGATGTAGGCGCGATACGACGACCAGGCGCCGCCGACGACGAGCGAGATCTCGGTGCCTGAGATTGCATGATTGCTCAGGCCTTGATGACTGAGGCTGCCTGCCGCTGCTGCTGATCTCTCGGTGCCGCGCAGCCCGCTCGTGTTGTCGATGCGCTCGTGCACCTTGACACGGGGCTCGTTCTTCTGGATGTCGATGTCGAGGACGCAGACGCTGAGCGGGCCGGTGCTCGACGTGGCGGAGCGGACCTGCCGAGATGCAGCCGAGATGCAGCCGAGATGCAGCCGAGATGCAGCCGAGATGTAGGCGCGCTCGGGGTGGCGGAGCGGACCTGGCGGCGAGGAGCGAGGAGGGGTGAGGCAAAGAAGGAGAGAGGAGGGCCGAAGCGCCAGGGTAGCCGCAGCGACAGTCTGGGCGGCGCGTGGCAAGGCTCCACCCTGCTGGCGTGCCTCGGAGACGTGTCTCGGAAGTGCCTCGGAGAAGTGTCTCGCAAGTGTCTCTGAAGCGTCCTCCGCCTGCTCGTGCCTCATGCCGCAGCCGTTGTCGCGGACGGTCACGCGGTAGTAGAGCGACTCGCCTAGCAGGTGTCTAGGAGGTGTCTAGGAGGTGTCTAGGAGGTGTCTAGGAGGTGTCTAGGAGGTGTCAGGAGGTGTTTTGGAGGTGTCTAGGAGGTGTCTAGGAGGTGTCTAGGAGGAGGAGTGTCTATGAGGTGTCTAGGAGTTGGAGCAGTAGTAGAGCGACTCGCCCTTGGCGCGCTTGCCTTCCGTCGGCTCCTTGCTGCTGCCCGCGCCATCGCCCGCCTGCACGCCGGGCGGCGTCGGGGCGCGCGGGCTCGTCACACCCCTTTGTTGGCGCGGTGCGGGGAGGCGCTGCGGCGGCAGGGGTTCCGAGTCGCCGCCACGCGCGCCTTTTTTCCTGTGGCCGCCTTGGCGCTCTCATAGAGCGAGCTGTCCAGCCGCTCGTGCGCGACCACGCCGATCAGGGCGTTGAGACCCTCGGTGTCAAACTCCTGCAGCGTGATCTCGATGTCGGGAAGCTCTCGGATCGACTCGCACGCATCGAGCGCGTTCTCGACCAGCTCGCGCACAGTCGTGTAGAGCGACTTACCGACGTTGTCAAAGCCGGCGATGTTCTTGTTCTCCGAGAACTGCGGCGCGGGTGCGGCGACGGGAGGTGGGCGCTCCCTGATGATGATGGTACGGGTGGCGGAAGCGGATGTGCGAGCGCACGAATTCCGCCGGCGACTTGAAGCGCAGCACTTCTCCGCGAGCAGTGGAGATTTTGGTGCCGTCCTTTGCTGCTTTGGGAGGCATGCAGGTTTCGGGCGGCAACGAGTGGCGGCTGGGCCTGAGCGCGAAACAGCCAGAGTGGTCTGGTAGGGGGGGGGGGGGGGGGGGCAGAGACTCGAGCCCTATCTACTCGTGCTCAGGCCATCCGAGGCCCTTGATTTTCACCTCATTTCGCAGCATTTTCGAGGGTAAAATCATCCTTTGGAGCTACATGGGCCTTGAGACAGGTCAGATTCTCCAAGATATTGGTTCCTCACTTTTCCACGCAAGCCGAAGGTGACGGGGCGATAGGCCTTGAGGTCTGAGGCTCACCCATTGTGGAAGTGAGGGACTGCTCGACCCCCCCGGATCATGCTGAACAAGCTCCTCTTGTAGCTCGATCGGTCACACCGCCATCGCCGTCGGGGAGAGGGGGGACGACACTGCTTCGGCAGCGTGCACCTCGAATCCTCGATCCTGTACCGTGTTTGTTATGACCCCGCCCGATGAACACACCAGTGAGGGTGGGCGAGACGATCGAGGGGTCCCGTACCACGCGGAACCGACCCTATCCAGTGCTCAAGTGCTCAAGTTCCTCACTGTCAGCCACGATTTCACACAACGTACTCGAGTAGCCCACGAACTGCTGGGGGGTGCCCACCACATGCTAGGGGGTGGGTCCGACCCCCCCCAGAGGCTTCACCACATGCTAGGGGGGGGGGGGGGGCTCCCCTCCCTGGAAGCCGGATGTGCGCCTGCTACGGGGGCTGGGGTGACGCTGGCGCCACCCCAGCCTCGCCGCACTCGCAGATCGCGTCGCTCGACTTCAGCTGCGTGAGAAGCACTCCATAGGGTGGTCGACCAAGCACGAGCCGCCAAGCTCATTCCAAGCGCCGGTGCAGGTCCGGTTGATCGACGCGGAGTAGCCACCGCAGGTGCCGTACGTCGTTTATCAAAGTTATCGACGAGCACCTTGCACGGCCCGCATACGAGGCCGTGGTCGACGTCCCAGGGTTCCGGCTCCTATAGCCGGATAGGGGGTCTGTTGCCACTGACTCGCGCCAAAACGCCCTACCTACCTACCTATCCCCAGGCCGCAGCGAAGCGGAAAAAGATGAAACTAGGGGGTACCTACCTATTGCAGGGCCCTTTTGGGCGAAACAAGACCAACCTACCTACCTATCTGGGAGGGGCCAGCCAGTGGAACAGACCCCCTATCCGGCTAGGAGCCGGAACCCAGAGACTCGTGCCATCTACTCGTGCTCAGGCCCAAATGCCAAAAAATCTCTTTAATCGAAATTTCAGGCCCATGGGCCGTCACCACCGAGTGCACTATGCAGCTAGATGTCGATAGATGTTCTGGACTGCAACAAGAAACCTAGCCGAGAGCTCACATACCGAACACAAAACCTCGGCCGCCCCACCCCACCCAGATAGATCCCAGACATAGAGCCTGTACCATCGGCCTTCATAGACCCGCATGCCGCATCAGTCGCCTCCCTCGCCAGCGTCGGTGCAATGCCGGCTCCGGATGTCTGCGGGGGCAGGGAGGGCGGCACGTCAGGAAGGGCGGCGCGCCAGGGCGCGCAGATCAGAACTGAGGTGCGAATCTAGCGGCGTACGAGGCGGGCGCGGGGTGGGCGGCGTGCTGCGGGTTAGAGGCGCATCGCCAGGTGTGTGAGGAGGCCACAGCGGCGCCGTGGTACCTGACAGCGGATGCCAGTCGAAGGGGAAGATGTTGATGAAGCGCTTGTTGACCTCGCGCAGCCCAAAGCGCGTGTTGTGGGAGGCGACACGGCCGTCAGTGCCGCCCTGGTGGTTGTGGTCTTGGCGTACCTAAAGCGATTGACGTGACGGTCTCTCGAGGCACGAGCGGCGGAGACGTCAAAGCCTAGTGGGCCGCTGCCGATTTGCTGATTGCAATGTCGGTGTTGCCCGCGAAATATTTGAAGAGGAAGCCTCCGCACATGGCGGAGGCCAGGCCGATGACGGCAAAGATGGGATACGTTCCTTTGTCGCCGAGCCACAGCTTCCGGCCGTTGACGCCCTTGGGACTCTCGGGGAAGTTGGCGGCAGCTTCCTCCCAGCCCATCGATCTCTACTGCGAGCGGGCGATTATGGAGTTGGAGTGTGGGCGGGTGAGCGGGGCTCGTAAAGCGCGCCGGGCTCGCCGGGCTTTCTTGCGTCGTCGTACAGTGCCAATGGGGTAGCCCATTTCCTGCCTTCTTTTTTTGATCTGAAGACGGAAAGAGGAAAGAATGGATCGGACGAGGTTTTTTGACATGTCATCACTGATCACAAATCGGCGCGATCCACCACAATACGACAACACGCCAACCACAGCAGCACGGCCACCGCCGCCGGCATCCTTCCTCGATTTGCTCAGTGGCGTGACGCATTCGCGAAGGGCGCGGAGGATGTACCATGCTATATCGGGCTGTGAGCTGGCAAACGGTCTGCAGGAGGCGCGGAGGCGATCGGGGGTGCAAGCGAGGGAAGAGACCGGCCCTTGGAGCCGCAGCATCGTTGTGTCATCACGCGCGCCTGAGCGGCACGCGCGTTCGACTGCTGGCATGTCCGTCGCGGCGGGGCTGAGCCGCTTGCGCATCAGCCGGAGCGGCGCGACCTCGGGCCACCCTTCCAACCAACCTGCCAGCCTGGCACGCCAGCCCAGCACGTCGTCCGGGATTCCAGCGCGACGTAGCCACGATCTGCGTAGAGCGAGCACGCTGCCTCGTTGTCCGTCCGAACCTACAAGCGTAGCGTGCACATCCGATGGATGGCCGGGGAGGGGAGGCCGTCGTAGCATCCACGCATGGCTTTCCGCCTTGAGAAACAACTCTCGACCACCCCAGTCGAGACACGCGTCCTCGCATGCATCCAGAAGCGCCCTAGCGATGCCGCTCCGCCGCGCGTGCGGCACGACGCAGAGGTTGAACAGGCATGGCTGCGGAGCGACTGCGCTCTCGTTGCCCACGCTGCCCTCGTTTTCACCCCACATCTCGACGAAGCCGAGCAGGCCTTCGGAGGATAGCGACTCTGCCACGAGCTGTGCATGCCGCGACCAGTGCCACGGCGTACACCTCTGTTCGATGTCGAGAGCGGTCTTGAGTTGAGTGACACGCCACGGGACGAGATGAATTGCGGGGATGATGTCAGCACGCGACATCGGTCGAACGTGCCAGCTCACGCTCCGATCGCCGCGAGCTCGACATTTTCTCTCGACGTCCAGCGATCGGAGCTTGGCGAGCTCGACGTTTTCTCTCGACGGGCTGAGTAGATATATCAATGTACCCGAAGAGAGGCGGCGTAGTAACGAAAGAAGTCCGCGCATCTATCTAGTCGTTCGGCGGCGGCAGGGACGACGGCACCAGACGTGGAGCAGCACGGTCATGCAGAGATCTGGCTTGCGAGGAACCGACTGGAAAATCGATGATACTCTTCTCACACCCTCACCCCACTCCTCCCGAGGCCTAACAAGGTAAGGCAAGCCGATGCCTAACAAGGTAACAATCTCAGGCTGGTCTGGCACCGGATTTACCATTCATTTATGTGGCTCTTACGAACACACCTGAAGGTGGACAAGCTTGTCCTCGGTCTCGGGCACCGTACCCATACTCAGTACTACTAACTACTCAAAAGTACAATGTACTACACAAAGCACCACTAGCGATTTCGCGCGGAGGGCGTAGTGAAGCGCTGGGGCGCTCACTGTGTGTTATTCGGGTGGGGATCCATCAGTGGTAACCGGCTTTTGTCACAGATCCAAGCTCAGACGCCACACCAACACCACAAACACGCTCACTTTGCCGCTGCTGTAGATGGGCCCCCGGGGGCCCATACTACGTCGAAGTACGGACCCGATCTCGGCACTCACGGGACGCGCCCGCGCGCGGCGCGGGCCGCACCGCCCATGCCCCCGGGTCACCGACCCCGCCTCTCGGCCCTCTCGGCCCTCAGGAGCGTGCGGGAGACCGGCGAGGGGCGCGCCGCGCCGCCTGCAGAGCCGCCAGAGGCATTGCCGCCTCCGCTGGCGGGGTTCCCGCGCGCCCGCCCGCGCCCGCGCCCGCCCAGCCGCGCCCGCGGGCTCCGGATGCGCCGCCATCCTTCTCCTTCTTCTCGATGGCAGTCCGCGCGTGCTTGTCGACGGGTCGGCGGCGTGGTCGAGGGGAAGGTCGCCGGCGGCCGCAACTCCGCCGCCGTCATTCCGCCGGCTCTGACCGAGTATCGGGCGTTGAGGGCGGCGGCGCAAAGCGGGTCTGACGCATCCATCGCCACGAGCCTCGCGGCGGCGGTCGTGGCACACCTGGCGGCGGCTCTCGGGGCCGTCTCTACGGCGCTCGACGCCGTGTGAGGTCGCCGGCGGCCGCAACATTGCCGCCGTCGCTCCGCCGGCTCTAACCGAGTATCGGTTGAGGAGGCGGCGCAAAGTGGGTCTGGTGCGCCACACGGCCACAACCCTTGCCACCGCCCTTGCCGCCGCCCTTGCCACCCTTTGCCGCCTTGCCTCCGCCGCGGGCGGCGGTGGGAGCGGCCTGCTGGGCTAGCATGTTGTCCTTGCTGGGGACGGGCACGTGGAACGCACGTTACATGTTTGAACGGCCTCCGGGATTCAAACAAAAAATAGCCGAGGCCCTCTCGCAACCCCTCCGACCCCCCGGGACCCGTGGGCGTCGAAGAGGCGCTCTCGGGGGGCCGTTCTGAGTTCATACTACCTCGAAGCACACTGTACTGCGTCAAAGCACCGGCCCTGAGTCTCTGTCCTTGTGTGAGAGAGAGAGTTTGTGTAGCTTGTGTGTGTGTGCTGTAGTGCTGACAGACAGCCCTCACTCAGGCAGGGTTTTTGCGATGAATGGACACAGAGAGAGATTTTTGAAAACCAACAAGAAATCACGACATTCACAGTGACTTGGGCTCGGCAGCTTGTCATGAGTGAGTGAGGAGCATCGGCCGCCGAGATCATTGGCGCGGGGGCTCTCTCGGCTATACTTGAGCATTTTTGAGCACTGGATATGGGGTCGATTCCGCATGGTACGGGACCCCTCGATCGTCTCGCCCTCCCTCCGCTGGTGTGTTCATTGGGGGGGGTCATAACAAACACTGTACAGGATCGAGGTGCACGCTGCAGAGGCAGTGTCGTCCCCCCTCTCCATCATCTCCCTGCCTGGCTGGGAGACGTCGGCGATCTTGGTGGCGATGTGACCGATCGAGCTACATGTTAAATCAATGTTATCTATACGGGACGGCCCCAGCTTCGGCTGAGGGCTGACAAGCTGCCGAGCCCAAATCACTGTGTGTCTGTGTGAGCACTTGGTCTTGGAGCACTTGGAGTGCAGTCATTAACCGCACATCCAGGCTTCCAGGGCCTCTCTCTCTCTCTCTCTCTCTCTCTCTCTCTCTCTCTCTCTCTCTCTCTCTCTCTCTCTCTTTTTTTTTCCCCCCCCCCCCCCCCGATGGGTCATGGGTGGGTGGCATTCGTTCGGGTGAGTGAGTGCTCAGATCACCAACGGCACCAACCGACCGCTAGCAACACATTCTTGAGAGAGAGATTTTTAGCAATACCAAACAACTCGAAGGCGAAACACAGTCCGACCAACGACTGGGACACCAACGCGGTCTCGGTAAGTGATGAGAGCGGATTTCGAAGTTGTCCAAAAAGAAACACTGCTGACTCTAAGCGACCAGTGCCGGCGCGGGCCTCGCCGCGCTGCCGCGATGGCGGAGCCGGCTGTCGACATTGACTTCCTGCGCTTCGTGGGCCGGCGCACGACGGACGCCGAGGGCGAGCAGAAGGATGCCAACGTCCTCGTCGGCGCCGGCTTGCTTGGCGTTCGCTCGGACGCGTCACTTCTCGCCATCACCAACCGGTTCGGCGCCCTCATCGTCGGGACCGCGGAGGGCCTGCGCTGGGCGTGGCTGCAGGAGCTGCGCTCGCACTGCGCACCCGGCGGCGCGGGCGGGTCCGCCGCCTCCTTCACCTCGGTCGCGTGTGGCTGCTGGCCGGTGGGCGTGGCGCTCAACTCTGACGAGACGCTGCTCGCCGTGCTCGGGGTGGCCGCGGGCGGCGCGGCGCAGCTGCTGCTCTTCGACCTGCCCGCGCTGCTGCGCTGCGAGGGGCGCGGCAGCGGCGCCGTCTCACCGCTCCTCGCTCACTCCCTCGCCGGCAGCGCGCACGGCGCGCTCGACGTGTCGTGGAGCAAGAGCAAGGCCGAGCCGCGGCTGGCGGCGGTCCTGTGCGGCGGCAGCGTCCTCCTGCTGCGCGTCTCGGCGACGCCGCCAGCCGTCGATCAGCAGCCCGCCGTCGATCAGCAGCCCCTCCCCGTCGACGCGCCGCGCAGCATCGGTTGGTCCGCCGACGGGGCACAGCTGTGGTGCGGCTGCGCCGGCGGCCGGCTGGTGCGATTCGGCGTGGGAGGCGGCGGCACCTCGCCGCCCGAGACGTGGCTCAGCGGCTCGGAGGCTTGCGCGCCGAGCGGCAGGGAGGTGCGGCTCGTGCACGCGGTCTCGGACCACTTCCTGCTCCTCTGCTACGACGACAGCGACGAGGCGCGCGGGCAAGCGGCGGGACACTTCTCCGAGACGCTTCTCCGAGACACTTCCGAGACACTTCTCCGAGACGCTTCTCCGAGACACTTGCGAGACACACGTGCGAGCACCTTTGGAGACACTTTGGAGACACTTCTTTGGAGACACTTTGGAGACACGTGCCAGACCCGTGCGAAGACTTGAGACACGCTTCAGACACTTTGCAGAGACACTTCCGACACACGGGTCAGGGCGCGTCTGTGCCGACGCGACGCGAGAGGCCCCGAGCCGCCCCCGAGAGCAGGCGCACAAGGACGACGCCTTCTCCGAGCCGGAGGTGAGGCTGCTCGACGTGGGGCGGGGGGCGGGGGCAGCCGAGGCGCTGCAGGAGTGCGCCGCCGCACTCTTCGTCATGTCGGAGCGCGAGCCGGGTGTGGAGGAGGGCGGCCTTAGAAGCGGGATGCAAGACCCTGTCTTGCGACCAGACACGTCGGGCAGCATGTACTCGCCTCGGGGCGGCAAGTGTCCAGCTGTGCTCCGCTGCCCTGCAGCTCTATTCGCTGCTCCCGTGGCGCACGCCCTCGACCGACCCTCCGAGTACACTCCCGCCCTTGACTCGCCTGTCTGCTTGACGCAGGACGGCGGGTACGCGCGCCGGCGCGTGTACTGCGCGTCGCTGGCCCAGTGGCGACTCGCGGTGGTCTGCAGCTCCGACTCGGACGCCGTCAGCGCGGTGGGCTCGCGCAAGCCGGGCGGCGAGCAGCGGTGGCAAAAGTGGACGCTGCCCGACGAGGAGGGCCCTCCCTCGGTGCCAACCTTCGAGACGGAGGACGGAGAGACGTGCGCGCGCCTGCTCCCCCCCACCCCCCCACCCCTGCCTGCAACTCACCCCCCCCCTCCCGCCCCCACCTAGCCCCCACCCCAGCCAAATGGGGTGGCCCAACCCCCTCCCACCCCACCCACCCCCACCCACCCCACCCACCCCCGCCCTCCCCCACCCACCCCCACCCACCCCCCACCCCAAACAGCTTTGGCGACCAGTTCGTCGTCGGCCTCGCGCTCGACCTGTGCAACGAAGAGCAGCTTGTCCTCGTCGCAGGCGAGGAGAAGTTCGCGCCGTCGCCCGTGCTTTGGGCGGCAACCTCGCACGGCGGCCTCGTCGCGTGGACGGTGGTGCACAAGAAGGCGCCCGTCGACAGTGTGACGGCCGCCTACCCATTCATGCGCTCGCCTGAGCCGCTGCCCACCGGCGACCAAGCGGCGGCCGGCGAGCCAGCGGGTGCGCCGCCAGCGCCTGCTGCCGTTCCCGCCCCGGCCTCGAGCAGTCTCTTCCCCTCCAAGCCAGCGCCGCCTCCGTCGCTCTTCCCCGCGCTCGCGCCGGCCGGCGCCTTCACATTCGGCGGGATGGCCTCCGCGGTGGCGCCCGCGGTGGCGCCCGCGGTGGCGCCCGCGGTGGCGCCCGCGGTGGCAAAGGCCCCAGAGCCACAGTCGGCGACGCCTGACGAGGACCTGATCAACGCGGCCGAGATGGGCGACCACGACGCGCTGGTCAAGGCGATCAAGGACGGCGCGAGGACCGAGAAGGAAGACGCGAAGACGTTCCGCGCGCTGCACTGGGCGGCGAAGTGCGGCCGCCCGGCCGACATCCTGGCGCTGGTGGATGCCAAGGCGGACCTCGACGCGAGGACCAAGGCCTCTCTCTCTCTCTCCCTCTCTCTCTCTCTCTCTCTCTCTCTCTCTCTCTCTCTCTCTCTCTCTCTCTCTCTCTCTCTCTCTCTCTCTCTCTCTCTCTCTCTCTCTCTCTCTCTCTCTCTCTCTCTCTCTCTCTCTCTCTCTCTCTCTCGCTGTCTCCCTCTCTCCCTCTCTCCCTCTCTCTCTCTCTCTCTCTCGCTCTCTCTCTCTCCCTCTCCCTCTCCCTCTCCCTCTCCCTCTCCCTCTCCCTCTCCCTCTCCCTCTCTCTCCCTCTCTCTCTCTCTCTCTCTCTCTCTCTTAATGACTCTCTACCCCCCCCCCATTTGCAACACACTCTCTCTCACCGACTCTTCTCTCTCTCTCTCTCTCTCGCCCTCTCAGGCGGGCGTGACGCCGCTCATCTACGCGGCGTCGGAGGGGTGGGACGACTGCGTGCCTCTCCTGCTCGCCGCCGGCGCCGACCGCTCGCTCAAAACCAACAAGGGGCGCAGCGCGCTCGACGCCGCCAAGGAGAAGAGTGCAAAGGCTCCCGGCGACGAGAAGCCACGGCGGGGACGGGAGGAGAGAAGGGCCGGCCGACCCCCTTCACGCGGCCGACGCCTGCTGGCTGGTTCTGTAGGTTCGCAAAGGTGATCGAGCAGCTGTCGGCGCCGCCCCCCGCGAAAGCGCCCGGGCAGGCCCCGTCCGCAGCTGTCCCTCCCGCAGCCGCCACGCCGTTTGCTTTCCCTCCCACAACCCCCGCCCCCGCCGCCGTCACCCCCTCCGCCGCCGCCCCCAAGGTCGTCGCCCCGCCCCCCCCCACCCCTTCACCCTTCGCCAGCTTCGCGCCTCCCACTCTGCCGTCCTCCGCGCCCGGCGGCGGCGGCAAGTCCAAGACCGAGGCCACGCCGCCGCCCGCACCGGTGCCGGGGAGTGCAAAGGGCGGTGCGTCCAAGTCGACTCCAGCCTTGCCCACCTTTCAGCCGCCAGCCCCGCCTTCCTTTCAGCCGCCAGCCCCGCTTGCGCCGCCGCCGCCGGCCGCGCCGCCGCCGACCGTGCCGGCGGCGCGCACTCCCTCTCCAGCCCCAAAGATGAGCCAGGGGCTCGAGAAGCTGCACGGCGAGATGAAGGCGTGGGCGGAGCAGTCGCCCGCCGACTTGCGCGCCTCCTTCCACGCCACGTTTGGGCAGATGGTGCGGCGGCTGGCCAGCCTCGAGCAGGCGTCGCAGCGCGCCAAGGAGCGCCTCGTCCCGCCGTATCTCCCCATATCTCCCCATATCTCCCCGTATCTCCCCGTATCTCCCCCTGCAGGAGCGCCTCGTCCCGCCGGCCGAGCTGGCGAGGGGCGCGGCGGGGGGCGAGCCACCCGAGGAGGAGCTGCTGGCGGCGGAGGCTGCGATGCGCGCCGTGCAGTCGCGGCGGGACGGGCTGCAGGCGCGAGCCGAGGCGAGCGAGGTGCAGTACCGCAGCCTGCTCGCGCCGATGGTCTCGCTGCTGCAGGCTAGCGAGCCCGACCCGTGGTCGCTCGAGCGGCTCTGCCTGCTCCCGCTGCTGCCCGACGAGCTCGCCGCGCTCGAGCAGCAGGCCCGGGGCCCTAGAGGCTGAATATCTCCCCATATCTCCCCGTATATCGGGCCCTAGAGGCTGAATGTGCATCCACGTGTTCCAACTAGCGCTCGCGAGGACGCGTATTCGGACAGCCTCCCGCTGTACTCACCACTGTATTCCTATCCGTCGTATTCACGCGGTGCTCTGAATGCACTGCACAACAGTTCCCGCCCTCATGTCGGTGTGCTCAGCACGCAGGTCCGGGACCTCGACGAGGGCGTGCGCCGCGCGCAGGTTGGCGCCGCGGGGAGGGGACGAGTGCTGCAGGCGCTACCGCGCCTAGAGGCGGAGTGAAGATCTCGCGAGTCCAACTGGCACTCGAGAGGACACGAGTGCAGCTGCGTTCGGCTGCACTCGGCTGTCTCCATCGCAGCCGTAGCCCTCGCATCCGCGCGGTATCGCATCCGCGCGGTGCTCCGAGTACACGGCGGCACGAGAACCGCCCTCCCGACTCCCTGGTGCCTTCCCGCTGCAGGCGCTCGAGCAGCAGGCGTCCGTCCTGTCCGAGCTCGAGCAGCGGATCTCCGACCTCTCCTTCCGCGCCGAGAGCGTCGCCGCGCCCGGCTCCGCGGCGGCGGGCGTCGTGCTCCTCTCGCGCGGCAGCGAGGGCGGTGTCGACTCGAGGAGGAGCCGGCCAGACGTGCACCCGGACAAGCTCGCCCTCCTCCTCGCGGCGCTGAGCGAGCGGGACCGGCCGGCCGAGCCTCCGGCGCCGCCGCCGGCCCAGGCGCCCCTCAGCTCGAGGCCCAAGAGCGGCGGGCGAAGTAGGGGCGCGCCGCCAGCGGCGCAGCTGCAGGAGCCAGGCGGCGCTCCAAAGCCGTTGCTAGCGGCCGGCAAGGCTCTGGCGAGCGGGCAAGCGCCCAAGCTGGCCGCTCCCTCGCTCGGCGGCCTCGCGGGCTCCGCTGCGCCGGCAGCGACGGCAGCCGCCCCGTCGCTCTTTGGGGCCGCGGCCGCGCCGTTCAGCTTCGGCGGGGCCGCGGCGGCGCCTGGCGCGGCACCTGCCGCCGGCGCAGCGCCTCTCGCGACGCCTCTTGCAAAGGCGCGGCCGCCCGCGCCGCCCCCCAGCAGCGCCGCGCCTCCCACGGCGGGCGCCGCGGCGGGGGCGACGCAGACACCTCTGAAGGCGACATCCCCCGCCGCCGCCTTGCCGTCCTTTGCGGGCTTCGGCCTATCGACGCCGGCGGTGGCGCCAGCGCCGGCTGCGTCGGCCGCGCCGGTTGCAGCGCCATTGGCCGGGACAGCGCCCGCGCCAGCAGCCCAGCCGCCGCCCGGAGAGACGGCCAAGGCCGAGGCCCCGGCGCTGGCAGCTCAGCCGGCGGCGGCTGCCTTCCCCGTGAGCTCCAAGGCAGCCCCGAGCTTGAGCTTGGCTCCGCAGGGGACAGGCGCGCCCGCGCCGGCCATCGCGGCCTTCCCTGCGTCGACGCCCCCTGCTGCCGCCCCGGCTGCGGCAGCGGGCGGCCGCGCGGCGCCGCGGCCCGCAGCTGGCAAGGAGCTGGGGCTGATGACGGTCGGGCTGGACGGGCCGGGCGGGCTCACGCCGATGGAGCACCGCCTCAAGGCGTACAGCAGTAAGCCGAGGCGGTCGGCCGAGGTGCTCTTCTTCCGACAGAGCCCTTCGCAGGAGCCGCAGCCGCCGAGCGCGCCAGCGGCGGCGGCTGCTGCGCCACCCGCGCCCGCACGCTCCCCGTTTGGGAGCTCAGCTCTCGGCCCCCCTCTCACCGTCGCCGCGGCGCCGGCTGCTCCGACGCCCTTTGGCGCCTCGCCAAGCTCTCCGGCCTGCGCCTTTGGCGCCGTCTCGCCGTCCACGCCGTCGGGCGTCTTTGGCGCGCCTGCATCTCCCGTCTCGGCCTTCTCTGGCGCAGCCGCTCGCTTCGCGTCGCCAGCGTCGCCGGCCGCCGGCGGCTTCGGAGGCGGAGCGGCCTTTGGGGCGAGCAGCCCACCCGTGCCGCAGCCGGCGCTCTCGCAGCCGGCCTCGTTTGGCGCGCCCGTCACCCCGCAGCCGAGCGCGTTTGGCGGGGCGCCGACGGCGCCGCCGCACACGCTCCGCGGATTTGAGCCGCCGCGTGATCGGCGCCGCCTCACTCCCCTCTGCCTGTGAGCAGGCGACGGCGGTCTTCGGAGGCGCGGCCGCCGGCGCGCCGTCACCCTTCGGCGCCGCCCCGTCCGCCCCGTCGCCGTTTGGTGCGCCGCCGACGGGGGCATCGCCCTTCGGCGGCGCGCCCGCCGGCACAGCTATGCCCTTTGGCAGCGCGCCGGCGCCGACGGCATTCGGCGGCGCGGGCGCGGCAGCGCCCTCGTTTGGGCAGTCTTCTGCGGTCGGGGCGGCGTCGACCCCCGCGTTCGGCCGCTCGTCGGGGTTCGGAGTCCCGGCGAGCGGCCGGGGTGCGTTCGCCGCGGCGGCGCCGGCGGCGGGCGGGTTTGGCGCCTTTGCGGCGGCGGCGCCAGCAGCGGGCGGATTCGGCCTGCCGACGGCGTCCTCGCTAGCCCCCCCTCCACGCACAGGGACTCACTCTATATTTGCCGGTAATTAGGCGCGCTCGCTACGCAAGCACCCGGAGGTTTCGGGGCGGCGGCGGCACCCGCCGCAGGCGGATTCGGCGCCTTTGCGGCGCCGGCCGCCGGTGGCTTCGGTGCCGTCGCTGCGCAAAGCGGCTTCGGCGCGGCGCCGCCGAGCGGCTTCGGAGCAGCGCCCGCCCCCGCCCGGTTCGGGTTCGGCGGGCACCGTGGGTGAGCGCCGGGAGGCGGGGCGTTGGACAACGGATGGCGGGGAGAAAGAGAGTTCAGAGTACTCTACAAAGTACGGGAGGAGGGATACAGTGGACCACGCGACTCTCGACTGCCAGATATTATGTAACAGATTGCAATACGGGCCGGTCTTTCACTGTGAAAGCCGTAACACCCGAGCTGAGCTGTCAGCTCTCTCGACAGCTGCGGAGCTGTGTCGCCATGCGGTTCACGGTTCAGGTTACACCGCCGAGCCCATTATCCACACACAGAAATCTCTCCTTCGGTCCACGTGTAACGCGGCATCTCTCCGTAATCTCCGTTACGCCCCTCTCCACGCGTGCGGCACAGTAAGCCCTGCCCCCCTCCCCTCCCTAGCAGACCAAAGTCCGCGCGCGCCTGCACCCTCCCTCGCCAGCAGCACGCCACACTAGAGACGAGGCTTGCCGCCTCTGGCGTGGGGAGGAGTCGCAAGCAAGCGGAGCGAGGCCTCACCCAACCGCACCCACCATCATGTTGTACAGGGACACGAGCGGGCCGCCGCTACCGCCCTGAGCAGCCTCGGGCGCGGTGCGCGCGGCACCGGCTGCGCGGCCTCGAGGGCCGAGCCTCGGCAGGCCGCGCAGGCGCTATGGGACGGGCAGCCCCTCCTCCCGGGCGGCGGACACGAGCGTGACGCTGTCCGCCGCGTACTTGAGGCCGACGGCGAGCGCGAGCGGCTGGCCCGCGTCCGAAGCGGGCAGCGAGAGCACCATCGACGCCCCCCGCAGCGTGATCTCTACCCGGCCGCTCGCCGGGCTCAGCCGCACGCGAAACGTGTCGCCCCGCCGCGCGGACGGCAGCGGCCTGCCGTCGGGGAGCGCGTCGACCCGCTTGACGCCGTCTGTGCCGGAGCCGCCGAGCGAGACGGCGCGCGTCGAGGGGGGCGCCTCCTCCCCGTCCGCGCGCGCCTCCTCCATCACGTAGCCCCACGAGTGCTCTCGCCGCACGCCCGCCGAGCCGGGCGCCCAGCCAAAGTCGCAGTTGACGAGGGCGGCGGGCGTGACGGCGCCGACGGCGATGGCGCACGGCTCGCGCAGCGTGTCCACCCGCACGGCGTACTCCACCTCGCCGCGGATGACCCACTCGTCCGCCACCGCCGTACGAAAGGAGTGGAAGCCCGAGAGGCGGTGCCTCGTCACGCAGCCGAGCCTGCGGCGCGATGTCGGGCGGCGGGAGGGGTGGGGAGGCCGCAGTGTGGCGCAAGTGACTCGGAGCACACCGGGGGGGAGACTGCGGGCGCTAGGAGCACTAGGGGCGCGGATTTGGCGTGTGCATCCGATGCGAGTACAGCCGGATGCGTGGCGTCTCGAGGGGTCGGGGGAGCGCGGCGGTTCTCCGCATCTAGGGCCGCGCACCGTCCGTCGAGGTGAAAGTGGCGCGACTCCTTCCAGCCCGAGGCGGAGCAAAAGGAGGCGGGCGGGAGCCGCCACAGACTGCGCGGCCCGCCCGCCGCCGGCTCGAGCACGCTCGGCGAGCACGTGAGCCGTGTCGTGCCTCCGCACTCGGAGCAAAGCGCATGCACCGGCTGCGCCGCGCGCGAGCCTCGCTGCTCCACCCACGAGAGGCGGCCGGCCGGAGGCCACGACGTGCGGGTGGGGCGGCTGGAGCACATGCAGAGCACGCCGCGGAGCGGTGTGAGCGCCTCCTCGCCACCCTCCACCACCGCCTGCTGGCCCACCAGCACCGACATCTCCCACGGCAGCGCGCGCCGCACCCGCGCCCGGCCGGGCGACGCGCCCGATGTCTCGAAGTCTCCGCTAGAATGCCCGCCGCCCGCGCTGCTCGACGCGGCAGCC